AAATTAAATCTGAGGAACTCCATTTCTCTAGTTCCCAGAAGTTAAAGTTTTATAAGAATTACTTAAAGGACTTTCTTTCACAACATTCTTAAAGGAATGCAATCTCTTCCTTCCACACCAGCTACTGGCAGGCTCATACCAGACAGACATTTAACGAGGAAAGTGTTAAACAGTTCTCTCCAAACTCTGATAAGGACACTTAAGTACACCTCTCAACTCAGAAATTCTGCACGCCAGAAGGACAGATTCCTACAACCAACTTTAGACAAGCTAAGTCAAAGTAATCTACTGCTGGCATTTACAGAAATAAAGCAAACAGTATCTGAAGGTTTCCAGGAAAAAAAAAAAAAGGAACAAGGGTCCAACAGTTAATATGCTTAATGAATACCTGGTTTTTCCACATCAATCCCCTGTTCTAGTACAGATTGCCTCTGTGACATGGGCAACCCACTTTGACCTGGCTTTAACAATAAAAAAGTTTTTCCACAGAATGCCCCTAGAATAAATAGAACTTGGATCTATGCCACTCTAAGTCTAGGTTCTGTTGGCTACCTCATACTCCACACAAAAGACAGCGGAGACACCACCTCCTTGAGGCAAACGAGAAAAATTCTTCTGAAAAATTCATCAATACATTTATTTTTTTTTAAAGGATTCATTAGGACCTCAGCAAAACTGTTTGCCTGATGCATCATGCCTGTCACATGGCGTGCTGGCCATGAGGAGGCCTGAAATATGAAGTTTCTCAATCTTACTCAGCCATCATGATGCAACTTCCCCCATGCTGATCCTGGCGGGGCCCTGCTCAGACTCCTCACTTCATCTTCTAGTTAGAGATGGATTAGTGCCTGCCCCAGACATCCAGCCCTCTCTGGAGGAGAAGGGCTGAATAAAAAAAAAGAACAAAAAAAAAAAAACAGTTATTCTAGAAGGCAATTAACAAAAAAAAAAAAGTATAGGGTGAGAGCATGATAAGCTCAGTCTGGAGGGTGCTACTGAAAACACCAAGCAGAGAACCCCGAACAGCACCACTGCCAGAAGGCTTTCAGGAAGCCAGCAGCTGCTGTCCAGCAGCTCTGCCGGAGACGGTCTGCAGGGTCACTGGACCTCTTTCATGGAGTTTCTTTTTCCTTCTTGTGGCATGGAGGGTCAGCTTGAGCTGAAACCGAAGTGAACATCTCACAGCTTTGTGGGACCTCAGATAGAGCAGGTATAAATGGAGAGGTAGGTAGAAGGGAGACAGGCAGCCAGAAGCTCAGCAAGAGGTTCTGAAGGAGATGAAAGCTGAGCAGATACAAGCCTAGAAAGGGATGAACACAGCTCATCAGGCTAAATCCAAATGTAATACCCTATACGCTCGTGAAGTTGGACAGAGTTTCTCTAAAAGACGGAGACAGTCAGTTACCATGGAAATTGGAGCACTTTAGGAATCCAAGCAACATCGAGTCAAAAGGCGTAACTAGTAATAGCAAGGCACAGGAGTACAATAAAAACATACCACTCGAACAGTCTAGCCTAGAAACTGCTTTTTACTTCAGCAGACACTAACCTAGACAGAAAGGGAGCCATATCAAAAAGGAAAAAACACGCAGCAGCAAATTACACGCTAAATAGAAGGGTTTAACTGAGAATTAGAGATGAGATAAAGATTAGAGATATGGAAGCTGAGCAAAAGAAAGTGTAACTGGAAAGTTCGACACTGACTTGCAGCACAACATCGAGCAGCAGAAGCTGGAACTCCAGCCACTAAGAACTAGCAGATGATGGCTACCTCCCCATCCTCACCAGGTCAGTATCACCACCTCACTGCAGGTTAATGGTATGTTACGTCAGTACTTGCTCTGAAAAAGCTTGAAAAAAAACATACGCTGCTCCTTCAGAGACTGATCTTGGAGACATGACTTGCTGCAAGTTATCTGTGGCAAGGATAAGTCTTCCTGCTTTGTGCTTGGGCTGCACAGAACACTTCGGGTGGCAGAGCGTAGAGGTACAAAAAACTGCCAAGGCAAGAGATTCATTTTCAGTCGCAGTACCAGCTTGAACAAGAACCTGGGGAAAGGCCTGCAGCGTGCCCTGAGCTGTACCACATTGCACTTGGCCTTCTGAACCACTTCTCTGTCCCTCACATCAGCACCACAACATGTCCCTCACCCTTTTTCTGAAGCACTGCAGAAGCCAAGTAATTCCGATCACATCGGCTTTCCCTAGCTGACCTAGGCGCTCACTTTGGAACATCCCAAGCTGTCAGAAGCCGCTGTTCTCGTGTTCTTCCCCACAGGTGACTACACTGCTGCTAATACACAACACCGGTATTCCACTAAACCATCTTATCAGCACGTTTCTTGGAACTCATGAGTTAGACCAACATTAATAAATTTTCCAATCAATCCCTGTTTCTAGGTTTACATGGCTTGTGTTCACCAAAGACTGTAACGCTGCGTCCACAGTTCACTGAGAGAAAAAGCAGCGTACAAAACCAGCTGCATGGAGCCCTGCTGCCGTGCCACGTACCACGACAAACAAACATTTCCTCAGTGTACACGCAGTCAAGGTCTGCTGCTGTCACCTATGACACCGATACGTGGACACTGAGTTTAGTGGCCTGGTTTGTTCCATACACTGCATTTAAATAACGCCAAAGAAGCTGCTTCTCCAGAGGTTCAGAAATTCAGTGTTCTGCAATAGATAACACAATACCTTAGGGAAGACAGGTTTACGTTAATAGAAGAAAAGAGCAGCAATTCTTCCAAATATGATGAGACCGATGGCAGAAAGATGTAGCTAACCTGTCTGAAGAGCCAGTGTGTGGACAAATCTCATACAATGGCTGAGTCACCTACAATTAAAGCAAAAAATACAGTCAGAGGGATAAATAGGCTCAATGAAACTTAATCTTAATCGCACCAGCTGGGAAAACCGCTTACAGTTCTGGGCAGCATTTACAGCAAAGAACGTGTTCTGAAAAATCCCAGAACTGGAAGAAAATTCCCAATAAGGAGAGATTAAGGGAAGATGGACAGCAGCACAGCCGGACCCACGGACAACCCATCAACGCTTTCAGATGCCAGCCACCTCGTGCTGCCGGAGGCTGCCTCGGGGAGCACAGCAGCACCCGCAGCACCTGCGGGCACAGCTCGCGAGCCACGCTGCAGGCGTGGAGCTTCCTCCTCGTCACCTTGAGCGCCCCAGAGCCGCCTGCGGGGCTTCAAAACGCACAAACGCGGGAGACGCCTCACGGAGGGGGGAGGGGGGGGGGATGATGCCGGGTGCCCGGCGGGGCCTGACTCAGCGCCGGGCCCTCCGCGCTCCCCCCGGGGCCGGGTTCTCCAGCGGGCCCCGTGCCGGTTCCGGCGCCCTCCCTCCCGCCCGCCCCCCCCCAGCACTCACCGGCGCCGCCTCAGCTCAGCCCCATGCCGGCGGCCCCCCGCGGGACCGGGACCGGGACCGGGTCCGGGTCCGGGCCCGGCGCTCCCCGCCCCGCCCGCGGCTGCCTCGTGAGGCGCGAGCGGGCCCCGCCGCCAGCCGGCTGCACGCGCTGAGCGGGACGGGACGGGGGGGGCCGGAAGTGACGCGACCCCGAGCCGCCGGTGTCGCCCGCCGGAAGGGAGGGGAGGGGAGGGAGGGGAGAGGGGGGCCTCCGAGGGGAGGGGGAGGGAGGGAGGGAGAGGGAGAGGGGAGGGGGCGGGGCTTAGGGAGAGGGCGGGGCTAGGGCTGGGGGGGGATCCGGGGGGGGGGTGCAGGGTCTGGAGCCACTGGGGGCGTCTGGGGCTGGGGGGGCACAGGAGCAGCAAGGTGGGGATGGGGGGCACAGCATCACTGAAATGGGGCTGGGGGGGGCACAGAACCATTACTGTTGGGCTGGGGGGCTCATAGAGCCATTAATGATGGGCTGGGGGGGGCACAGAACCAAGAAGGTTGGGCTGGGGGAGTCACAGTATCATGGAGGTTGGGCTGGGGGGGTCACAGAATCGTTAGTATTGGATTGGGGGGGTCACAGAGCCATTAATGTTGGGCTGGGGGGTCACAGAACCATTAAGGTTGGATTGAGGGGGCTCATAGCATCATTAAATTGGGCTGGGGAGTTATGGAACCATTAAGGTTGGGCTGGAGGGGGGTCACAGCATCATTAAATTGGCCCAGGGCGGGTCACAGAATCATTAATGTTGGACTGGGTTGCTCACAGAGCCATTAATGTTGGGCTTTGGGGGCCACAGAACCATTAATGATGGGCTGGGGGGGGCACAGAACCAAGCAGGTTGGGCTGGGGGAGTCACAGCATCGTTAACATTGGACTGGGGGGCTCACAAAGCCATTAATGTTGGGCTGGGGGGGGCACAGCATCACGGAGGTTGGGCTGGGGGGGTCACAGCATTGTTAATATTGGACTGGGGGGGTCACAGAGCCATTACTGTTGGGCTGAGGGGGCTCATAGCATCATTAAATTGGGCTGGGGGGTCACAGAACCAATAAGGTTGGGCTGGGGGGGTCACAGCATCATTAAATTGGTCCAGGGCGGGTCACAGAATCATTAATGTTGGACTGGGTTACTCGCAGAGCCATTAATGTTGGGCTGGGGGGGTCACAGAACCAATAAGTTTGGGATGGGGGGGTCACAGCATCACTGAGGTGGGGCTGGGGGGGGTCACAAAACCATTAATGTTGGACTGGGGGACTCGCAGAGCCATCAATGTTGGGCTGGGGTTTCACAGAACCAAGAAGTTTGGGCTTGGGGGGGGGGAGGTCACAGCATCACGAAGGCTGGGCTGAAGGGCCTCACAGTGTTATTAAATTGGCCCAGGGGGGTCACAGAACCATTACTGTTGGGCTGGGGAGGGCTACAGCATCATTAAGTTGGGTTGGGGGGGGCACAGCATCACTGAAATGGGGCTGGCGGGGTCACAAAACCATTACTGTTGGACTGGGGGGCTCGCAAAACCATTCATGTTGGGGGGGGGGTCACAGAACCGCTGATGTTGGGCTGGGGGTCTCACAGCATCACTGAGGTGGGAACAGACCTCCAAGGCCATCCCATCCCACAACCCCTGCCACCACCACCACCACCGAACCACATCCCTCGGGCACTGCCATGCCCACAGCAGTGCCGGTGCCGTTCCCAGCACGGGCTGGCAGAGCCGGGCGAAGGCGATCCCAGCTCCCATGGGCCTCGCTGTCAGGCTGCAGGGAGCTGTGTGGTCCTGCAGGCCCGGCACGTTCTTGCCTCCAGCTGCTAGGCCGATAGCATCTAAAACCACACTGCCACTTGCCAAATATCCGTCCCTAAAGGCACGTGTGGCCGCAAGGCTGTTGGAGAGCGCTGAGGGAGAGGAGGGAAACGGCTGATGGAAAATCGCCCCGTCGGAGGTGGTCATCTGTGGGGAGAGCCCTGGGAAAGCCCACAGACACCACCTGCAGAGGAGCCTGGCAGCATGTCCAGGGGACAGCCAAACCCCAGCGCTTTGGGAAACCAGCCCCAGGTCCTGCTGGCCGGATCCCAAGAGGAGTGTGAAGGGCTGGTATCTCTCTGCTTCCACACGTGCCTCCAGACACACGCCTGCCTTTAATAACCCATCCTACCATGCTGCTGCCAGCAGCCACCTCACGATAGGCTTATCTGCCAGCGTAGAGGTGCCCGAGCAGTGTGTCTCTCCTCGCAGGCAGCCCTTTTCCGTGTCACTGCTCGCGGCAACACGCTCGACTGAAGTTCGTGTGCTCTGTTTGGGTTCCTAGAAGCCGGTGCTTAACTCCGTCAGATGTGTGTACTGCTCAGATACACTCAGCCAGCTGTGGGGCTGAGCTGACCTGCTCTTGATTACTGCCCCACCAACGTGTGCATCGTTCCAAGTGCTGTACCAGAACCATTTCTAAATGCTTCCAGCTCATCTATAAACACCGGTGTGTTCACTAAGTGCACCTCCGGGTTCATTTTCCAGGTGCATCAGTTTAAGATTCTGAGGAGCACCATAAATCACTGAGGGGTCTGTAAGCCATACGAGGATCTATATTTTCACACAGTACACTTTTTTTCCAGCAGTTCTCCTTCCTTGCAGACCAAGGGGATCGGTCAGCATTGCATCTTACAGCGTGCAGCCAGAGCAGGTTCCATAGGGTAAATGACCTGAGCCCATCGCATCACCGCGGTGGCACACTCAAGGTGCTTCTCACACAGCCCCCACATGAGTCAGCCCAGCAAGGTGAGCCAACAAGAAACCTGCCAATAAAATGTGGAAAAGGGATGGTTTTCTGTTGGCTGAGAGAGTTGAGTTGGCTGAGAGTTGCAGGCGCATGACCACTATTTAAGGGAACAAGAGGAAAAGAATGGGAGAAACAAAAGAGCCTGTTTCGGCAGCCGCCCAAAATTAGCTGTAATACTGAACTGGTTTGACTCAAGTCAGAATGATCATCTTCCTACATTCAGCACTTCTCACCAAGAAAAGTTAAAAACATTATTTCTGGAGTCAACGCATTCACAGAAAATGTTGCAGTTTAATTCTGCGTTGGCCGCGTACTTCATCAACCTCCTTATTGCTTTTGCCAAGGATTGGGGTTAGATTAGCCAAGTTTTGGTTAGCACTTACCTAGGACATGGCAGTTACTGTTTCGGGATAATGACTCAACAGTTATTTCCCCTGAATCTCTGGAAATTCAGTGACATGGTATTTGCTGAGAAATCAGTATTAAAGGTTTGATGACCTTGTTGGGCAATTTTAAAAATACTTCCATGTGCAAGTTTTCCAGCTCTGGTTTTATGGATGGTTATTAACCAGTTCTTCATACAGCCTGGAAGAGAAAAATACTGCTGTTAGATATGGGGACACCATTCTGTTCATTTTCCAAATGAAGAACAGAAAAGCTTATTGAATAATTTCAGCTTTTCTCACCACTGGGTGGGGATCAATCATATTGGCCATCTATATTTTCACTGAATTCCCCTAATTAATTACCCCTCTTTCCAGATCATTGATCTACCCAGTGCTATCAGCTTTCCAAATTTTCAACTATATTTAATTCATTATTATTGCCTACACCTCCCCTTTTAAGGAGGATGTTTTGTTTTATTTTAAAACCAGAAAGTCTCCTTTTGTGACATTGAAACGGTGAGGGTCTGAGTCATCTAATAACACATTTGTGAAGAACTCCCCCAGTTTCCATTTAGATTGCATTGAAGCATTTCCTCAGACTCTCCCTTATTCATAACTGCTTTTAGCCTTGCAAATTTGGCATTTTTATAGCGCTGAGTTCCTAAACACGTGGTGCCTGGTGGAAGTAGTCACTCAGCACATTGCAAACAGACCAAACTGTGGTCACTTCCAGAGAGCGATGCGCAGCACAGCATCTCCCTAAGCTGGCTGTTGTGTCCTCTGTGTGTGCACTCACAGCTGTTTGCATTGCCTTTGTAGCTTACCCAAACATTGTTACACAGCTCCCATCGCATCTCACGCAAAGCCAGTCTTCTCCTCGCGTTGGCTTGGCAGAGCAGGACGAAGCTGCCCTTCTTCCTGGGCCGTGCAGTGAGCGGCAGTGCTACCGAGGCTGCAGGGAGGGCATGGGGCAAGAGGCAGCACTGCCAAAACAGTCACATGAAGGCAGGAGCACCAAAATGGGTGCTCTTCTGCTGGGATATTCAGAGAAAACCAGAGGCAGCACACATAAATGGGAGTAGCAGACATTCATCCACACATACCCAGAAATGAGGCTGTGATGAGGAAAAGTCTAAGATACTTTTTGGACTAAGTACTGGCTGGTGAAAGAGCCTACCATATGACTCAAAGGAAAAATATTATGAAGTTATTACTGCTATTAAACAGAAGCTCTTATTCCGTCATTCCCTATTAGTAATAAGAGTAAAAAGATTTGCTCTGATACATACTTTAACATGTTCATCAAAATTCCTGTAGTCATTTTCAATTAAAGGTAAACGTCTCATCATTTTTTTTCAACCCAATGCGTATTCCAGCATATTATCTTGATCCACATTAGAAGGTTTCCCTTACACCTAATTGCTTTTCTTTTTCAGTCTCTGGCAAATTTGAACTTGTTTATTGCTTCACAAACCTCAAACCATGCAGGCTTTTATTAATTCAAAGATTAATTTTGTGGTTGGCCTGTTCCCTCCACCCATCTCCTCAAGCTGTTTCAGCTGCTCTCCAGCTCCCTTGGCATTACTCTGGTTTGGAGCACTGCAGATGCCTGGCAAGCTCAGCTCTCCAGCAGCACTGCTAGCTACATTTTTTCTAGGAAAGAGACAGGTCACAGGACAAATTGAGTTATGGCTTACCAAGAGATCACTGTGTTCAGTTCTTTTAAAGCATCAGGTCTTCAACTTGGTAGAAAAAAAGAGGGAAAAAAAAAAAAAAAAAAAAAAAAAAAAAAAAAAACAGTAGAAATAACAGTTTTTCGCTGCTCAGTTCACCTTTGTGAGACTTGCTAACACAAGGAACCGATCCAGAGCACACACTGCAGTGCTGTCACAGCTTTTAGAAACTTTATGTCCATTTACAGCCAGCATAATTCCTCGAGACTTCGCTCAAAAATGTGGGAACACAATAGCAGCCCGAGGCTGGAGGACAGAAGCAGCTCTGTCAGCCTGCTTAAATCAAGTCCAGCAGCCTTTCTTAAAAGCTTTCCCATGACTATTTGGATTTCATAGGCACATATATTCTACCCAAACATGTTTTCTGGTGGATCTGAACTGGGTGCAGGACCCAACAAAACTGTTTCACTGGCTCCTTTACAACTCCTGCAACTAGAAGAGTTGCCACATGCAACATCTCGATCGCTCCCTTCCCAGCCGGATCCCCACGCAGCAGGTGCATGGTGTCCCTGAGTGGATGTGCTGAATGATGCCAAGAAGATATATGGTGCTCAGTGAGTGCCCTTCCTCAGGCTGACTGATCGTATTTTATACGTTTCCCCAGTCTGAATTTATCTCCTGTTATCTCTCATCTTAAACTGCGGATTCTTGAGGGCAGAGATGTCAGCGTTACCTGCTGTACAGCGCCTAGCTGCCAGGGGCCAGCTAGGTTTATGTGCTTCTGCAGCACAGAGAATAAAAAGCATTTTGCTTTAAGAACATTTGTGAGGTTTTTTCTCCTTTGTGCATGATTTCTAAATCAGCAAACACAAAAGACTAACTGGAGATCACATTGGTATACAAAATCCATCCTGTGCCAAAACTAAGATATCCAAGTAGCAGAGAAAATAAATCAAAACCTACTGTTTATTTATTCACTCTCCTTAATGTGTATATGTTAGCGTGTTCCACCCTGCCTTTTCTGGTAGGGCTGTATAAATATGTGCCTTAGCTCCGAGTAGGTTCTGGGAAGGTTTCTCCCAAGTGCACGGGCATGCAGCTGGCCACCGAGGCTGCAAACACACCTCTGCTAGCCCCGTGCCACCCAGTCCTCCCTGGGGACAACCGCAGGGCCTCCCATGGAACTTTCCTGGCAAGGAAAGCCTCTTCCTACCTTTCCTACCTTTGTTTGCTTTTTCTGACCTCAGCTGCTGGCAGGCTGGGGCTCGCTGCTGGCCGAGGATCCCCAGGTCAGCGGGCTGGCAGCAGCACCGCGGCCGCGCTCCCACGCACATCTGGCACCTGCACGGGAACATCAGACCCCAGCCAAGTGCCTCAGCTCCCGAAGGCACGGCCAGGTGTACAGAGTGTCCCGTGAAATGGGGGCTGGCAATCTGCAGTTATGGTTTTACTGTTCAACAAGATGAGTCATCAGCAGTCGAGAGGCACAAGTCTTTAAAAGCCTCCTTTTAAAGCTCCTTAAACTAAATTGGCAAGTCTGAGTTGTTAAACAATTTATTATCACTTCTCTGCCAGAAGATCTTGAGAAACAGCTTAAAGAGCAAATAGTGCAGAGTGCCCAAGATTGTCACAGCTGAGGCCTTTCTTTTCTCTCGTGTCACCCTATCCTTTTTCCCCTTTCTCCAGACATTCAGCTCTTCTCGGATTAAATAGTCTTGCTAGTAATTTCCATTACAACAGCAGCATATCTAATAAGTCACATGTCTTCAGCAGTAGTCACAGTGAAAGGGGAATTCATCGCTCCATTTATTAGAACAAGATCTTAAATAGTCACTTTTTATAGCACACAGAACAAATAGTATCGTGCTCTCCCATTCCTCTTGCTATTCCCAGGCCTGCCATGGAAAGCAGCAGGGAGGCCGTGCCTGTTTCCAACTCACTGCTCAGGCACTTCCAAGACGATTCCCTCCCCAGAGGTTCCTGCCACAGCCTTAAATGAACCTCTCTGTAGCTACTGGGCACGTCACTGGCTTTCTTGGTACTTGTCCCTGTTTTTTTTTCCTGTCTCTGTCTTTAATGCAGAAGTCTTTCAGCTAGCAGGACAGTCAGACTTTGCCTGACCTGCATTGTAGCTCAAGGGAAGTGGGCAGTGAGAGCTTTTCTTGCTTCCACGACTGCACCATGCTGTGCCGTGGGCTGCTGTGCTGAGCACACCCAGGTGTCTCCAGTGAGGATGCTGCTGTCCCGAGGGTTTGCACAGGGCTTGTCCCATCCAGAAATCTTAGGGCACCATGGCAGCATTGGTGAGAGCAGCAGCAAAGCAGAGGCTGCAGCATTTTCTCCTGTGAAGGAAGGTTCAGTTTGGTAGCAGGTATCCCAGCCACGTGGAAAAATTGCCCAGGGGACCTGGCAGGTCCTGCTACAGCTACTGACTTCACTAAGAAGTATTCCAGTAAATGCAGGGAAACTCCACCCACGACAGGGAAACCCAAGCCAGCACAGACATACCAAAGCAAACAAGTAAATAGGTAAAATGTAGGCCAACCTCAAAGGCAGGACTCTTGAGAAACCATCGCTTTTATCTAAGAGGGTACATTTAGCAAAGGGCAAGCACTCTTGCACTTATTATTTGGCTGTAAGCGAAGCGACTGCAAAATGAACCTGCCTCTGCCCACCCGGCACAGAGGAAAAATTCAAGCTCTTGGGCAGCTTTCGCAACTGGAAAAGCAGATACGCTTTACAGCTGAAGAATGCACACACACCGCTAATGGACCTCACTATCTAGCAGCACGATGTTTTGATTTCATATTAGAATTGCTTGAAAATGGGGCCTTTAATACCTCTATTGTTGTACATTTCTCCCTCAAAGTACGTTTGAAGGACTTAATCAGACTCATTTCCTTAATTTCAAGCATATCTCTGAAAATGTATTATCCGAGGCTGATGGCATCAAAGAGTGAATTAGGAATAAAGCCAAGTGAATAAAAACAAAGATATATTTCCTTTCAGTTACTGTGCAGCCTTCACAGGCTACAGAGCATTAGATTACTGAAATACCACTGACACATTCTTCAAGATCTCCAAATTAGTGCCTTGCTTTTATACCCTTAGCATGAAGCAAGAATGCAATCCTTGTTACCACTCAGCCCAGTTAGAGCTATGCTGTGATGAGCAGCTTTAGCTTTGCAGCACTGGAAAAATGTCTTTGAACCAGTGCTGTTTGCATTCCCAGTTTCCAAGACATATTTGTCATAGCAAAATTCCCCTATTGAGCTGGAAAAAAAAAAAAATGGATTTGATGACTGCTTTGAAGAAATATCTGACAGTGCATGCACCGCTTGCTTTCACCGCCTGTTCTTTGACATCAGCCGCGGAGAAGCAGAAGCCCTTGCTGCTGCCCTGGGTCAGGATGAAGGTCCCTGCACCCCTGTCCACCTCTGATAGGAGCTGCTCAGAGAGGACATGAGACAGGGGTAGGCACGTGCTGAGAAGATGGAGTGAGCTGAAATCAAGGGCAAGGGGTCAGCTCCCGTTCCTGCCCATTGGGGAATCAAGCACAAATCCCCCTTCTAGTGCTATGCTAACAGCAATTGTAATGGGGGCAAAGCAGGGGAAGTTTGGTATCCATGGCTTATCCAGAGTTTTAACACAGAGCTTAAACCAAGAATATCCCTCTTCTGGCAAATTAAGAGGCATCTCCTGACCGCCGCTGTGGCTGGACCCAGAATATGGTTTTTACAGTGTGGTCCAAGAGAAATGATTGCCACACTATCCATGAGCAATGGCGCACAGTTTCATAATCCTGGCAAAATTACCATATAAATATAACCTGAAACAGCACCCTCACCGTACACACAACTCGTGGTTGTTATGATAGCATTCCTACACCATATTGTCATCTTCTACTACTCCCTCCTGAAGCCTCCTGTGGACGGAACTTCACAGCACTGCAGCCCTCCTTTGTGCATTTGTGCAAAGTGGCATTTTGGGGCCCTTCAGGGCCCTCCTGCAGCCCCAGGGAGAAACACAGCTGTATGAGGGTCACCTCCAGCCTGGCCGTGGCTGCCCGTGACCTCCCACAGCAGCAGAGGGTTTCTTCCCGTCCAAGCCCTCACTCTGTGCCTTGTGACACTTGCTGCTGAGAGCTGATCTTGCACCGACAGAAGCCGAGTCCTCACTTCCTTACCATCGCTCCTACATTCTCCCGTGCAGCCCCAAAGCTGGAAGGAGCAGAGGGGAGGAAGCAGGCTAGAGGAAAGCTGATCCTTGCCAAAGTGCTCCCACCCCATCAGCTCCTGGGGGGATTTCTCTGCCTCTTGGTTATGTCGAATTACTGCAGATGCATGGATTTCCTAATTTCCCTTTTAGGTGGAACAGTTTCCAGGCCCCACCTCACTTCAACACCACTGACAGAGAATTTTTCTTTTAGCAGGTCTGAGACCACCATGTCCTGAGGGGTCCATGTGCACCAGTGCGCTGGTTTGGACCAGGGGCACATCTTTGAAGCAAGTTGTGTGATCAGCCCAGTTAGCACCGTGCTTTGCTTCACATCAAAGTAGCCATGGAGCATAAGAATTGGGTTCCCTTTGGGTGAGCTAAGCCTGAAGCTGCTCTCCAGGATCCTGCCTGATGTGGTGCAAGCGCTAAAGCAGCTCAGCCTCCGGAGCCAGGCTAGGGCCTGTCCAAGACGTAAAACCCTCTGGAACACACCTGCGGCCCCTCCTCTGCTCTACAGGCCTGGTCCTGCTGTGCCACGCTGCTTGCTGGTGAAGGCATAGGTATCAGCTTTCTGGGGTGCTCCAAGGGGCATCCGTAATCTGACCTATTAACCATAATCAGACCCATTAACAGGTGTGCTGTTTCCACTGCCTTCCCTGCTCACCCCACTTCAGAGACAGACACCTTCATCCCCTCACCACTGCCTGTGCCCGCACAGGGCACACCGATGCCGTGTCCTTGCCGTGGGTGCCCATGGAGCCATGACACATGGGGACGAGCTCTCCCCACCACCAGCAGCTCTGTGGGCAAGCCACGCTGTCAAGAGGAAATCCGCGGGCCCAAAAACTGGGCCATGGAGGCACCGCAGGGCTTGGGCCCTGGCCCAAGGAGGGTGTGCTGCAGGTCGGTAAGCACGGGCCGAAGCCACAGCTCCAGCACCAAGTGACTCTCTTGAGCCACGCCAGACAGACAGACTGGTTTCTTTGTGCCTGCATTCCCCAAAAATTTCTGAAAAGATTCTGAAGGCACAAGGCAGGAAGATTTGAGGCGCTTAACTATGCAACAAAGAGCAGCCTCTCAGCTGCAGGACACTCGTGGTGTTTCCACAGTTTTGCCAGACGGTAAATACGCGGTGTCTAAGTAAGGATGAAAGCAAGCCTCTGGCAAGAAGGCAATGTTCTCTCACTGGCAGTAATTAAGCTGAAATTACAAATGGACACAAACTGCTAACATGTTTTGTGGCTTTATGCAGACTAAATTCTCCATCCAACCTTAAATTAAGCTCTGCTAAAGACAGGGCAGGGAGAGGGCTTGGCACAGCAAGGAGGCGATGGGATGGCCACAGCTGCTCTGCCCGTACCCATCTGCCCTCCTGGGGCTCTCTCCTGCCTGGGCCATTCTGCCTTGACATGACTTATGCAGCCTTGTTCTCCCAGCATTTCTCAGGAAACTGCTTTGCAGCTGGCAGCCCTTGCTGTTACAGCAAAGCTCGAGGCTGGGAGGCCTCCTCTGCCCCGTGCTACCAGGAGGAAAGCCGTGCCTGCTCCAAGCAACAACTGTGCAGGGAGCCAGAGCCTGAGGTGTTGGAGCACCTCCTCCTTGGTCTGGGACACAAACCCTTGCCTTCCCCATGTGTGAGCCCCATCTGCCCCAGTCAGGGAGGCTGGATTTGCTCAGGGGCAGCAGCGCCCCAGGAGCACCCTGCCCGGTGGCTGCTGAAGCAGAGCTGCACTGGGGGAGCCTGGGGCTGCAGTCAGCCCCACACACTGACACGCACGAACCAGCCTCACAGAAAACAGATCACGTCTGAGGCTCACTGTGCTTTCCTGAAATTGTACAATAAAAGTTACCCACCCACCCCTCACCTCCTGCTCTTCACACCACGCTGCTCAGGCTCACTGCATTATTCCGGGCTTTCCTCAGTAACAGCCAGGCCTGGGGGGCTGCCAAGAAGCCAGCAAGGGCAGTCGCCAGGACAGCGCCCAGCAGCCCCACAGAAGTGCTCTGGACTCTCCTTCCCCACCCATGTGCTCTCCCTCCCAGGGCTCAGCAGGGCAGCAGCTCCAGAGCCTCCACTTCCAAGCAGCTGCTCATCACACTGAACAAGAAGCTGCTGGATCCTTTCCACCATCCTTTGCCCTCTGGGGTCCTTTCTCGTGAATCTGTAAGGTATTAGCATAAGAAGTGACTAATTACTTTTGCAGCTCCACCCTAATGAAGCAAGCTCACCTGCCTCCTCAGGACAGGTCATGCCCTAACAGCCACCTGGCTGCTGGATTGCTTCAGACACCTCCCAGGGCTCTGCAGACAGCAGCAGGCTCCAGGGCAGGAGGAGACAAGTGGCTGTGAATAGCGAAGGGCTGAAACAGCTGCTCCCTGTGGCTTTCAACCCCCTGCGCTGGGCGAGCGAGTGGCAGCATGCTCGTGGTGGCTGGGAAACTCCAAGGGAGGAATGTGCAAACACGGTGCTTGCGTGACAGCGCTTCCCACTGCTCACACACGTGTGCAAAGGTGCTCACCCACCTACATGCCACACTGCATCCTCCTCCTCCCGAGAGGCAGCATGCCACGTGCCGATGGAGACCTCACCCAGTGGCTGTGCCTGTGGCAAGGATGGTGTTGGCACCCTGGTGTAGCCCTGGACCTGCCCGTGCCAGTGTCCTCGTCTGCACCTCACTTGCCCGGAACATCCCCTGCACTCCTCCCGGAGCAGGAGCAGAAAGATGCAGCAGCAGCCCCTCAGGAAAAGCCCTCTCCAAAGCTGTGCCTGCTCAGAGCATTCCCACCCTCACCATTGTTTTGGGAATAGCTGGAAAATGTCAGCAGGGCGCTGGGTGCGGGTGGGGGGTGGGCAGGAAAAAGGAAAAACAGATGATTAGATTTTTTTAAATCAGCCAATAAATTATATTAACTTTTCCATTGACCTTTTGTGGGGTCACATTATCAGACCAGTGAATATGGTTCATGAAGATAGTATTATGCTCAGATTTCAAGCTGTGCAGAAAATGCATCCTTAGCAATACCCCAAAATGGAAACGTCAGCTGTGCCAGAGGGATGTGCCGCTGGGCTCATGGGTTCTGGGAGCTCCCTCCAGGAGCAGGGCAGAACCAACACCCACAAATATCGCACTCCGATTCCTTGCAGCACCCTCTGTGTTGTTATTTAAAAGGCACAGCTCCCCAGCAGGCTGGGATTTTGTAAGGCCTGATTTTGCCAGTGGTGCCATTTATTGCACTTTCTTTGAGATTGCCTGCAGAGGGACCTGCCTGTGGTATGTGGCTAGGACAGCGGGGACGAGGGCATGGCTGCAGGCACCAGACACCTACACGGGGCAGGAGGGACTGCATCCCCATGCAGCACCACATCCCCATGCAGCATGCACCTGCTGCATGACCACGAAGTGACTCATGCTGGCTCTCCTGTGGCTGTGATTCCTTTCAGGACGCCCATCAGGGAGGCTGGGGACATCAGTGTCCCTGCACACTGTGCCCCCAGTACTGTGCGTGGTGGGGACAGTGTGACTGAGCCTTGGCAGGTGGGGAAATGAAGCAGGGCAGGAGCAAAGCGCTCCCAAAGCCACAGGGGCAGAGCTTGCCAAGGACCAAGGTGGATCACCTGCAGCGGTGTGGCTGGCAGCATGACCCTGCCCTCCCCAGGCCAGGGCTATCCTAGCCCCCATGCAGAGCCCCCCTCACCCTCCGCTAGCCCAGTGAGGCCAAAATTAGCCTCCCCTCTGCATGTGCCGCCTAGAAGAGCCACAATTCTATCTCAGGAAGGCATTATTGTACTCCATGAGCCCTATCTTATCAGGGAGAGAAAAATGGGACTTTGACAAATTGCCTCTGCCGTGGCTGGGGTGAGCACATGATTTTCAGGAATCGCCCACCACGGCCACTATTGTTCCCAGCCCCGGCGCTGCGCGGGGCCGTGCTGCACGACCCTCCCGCTGGGGAAGGAGCACGCAGGGCCCCGCACATTGTGTCTGCAGCCCAGCACTGTGGCGGGGAGGCGGCTGAGGTTGCATTGATCCCTTTATCGCCAGCCTCGAGCGCTGATAAGGTGACATCACCCTCCGGAGCGAGGACTCGACCCCTGTTGCAAGAGGAGATTGTTATCGGCGGGCCCTGGCAGGGCCGCACTGGCCGGCAGCTGGAAGCAGGGCCACCCCGCGAGCCTTTGACACTATGGGAAGGGCTTGTTTCTCCCTGCACAATGGCTGCTCAGATCCTGCCCAACAATGCTGCAGCTCGGCATGGGGCAGCCCCAGAGCACACCAAAGGCTTCTCCTCCGCGGTGGCCCAGGGGACACAGCGGCTGTCCTGGGATGCTCTGCCCAGCCCCAGGGAGTGCCCAGGCCCCAAAGCACCCACTGGGCCCAGGTGGGTGCTGGTCCCAGCCCCAGGCAGCCCGAGAGCAGCCTGTGGGCCCATCACAGCCCATCCCTGCAGGGAACAGGGGCTGCTCCTGGTGCCTCTCCACCACCAGCACTGCTGCTGTGAGGAGTAACCAGGAGGGAGCAAAGAGCCTCTCGAGCAGGTCCAGATAGAGGCAGAAGACCTGAAAGGCAGCTGTGGTGGCTGTGCTCCCAGACAGCCAGCACAAGCCCCTGGTGATGTCCCACACGGGATGTCCACCTGCCCCAGAGCACTAACAGCACAAAGACTGGGCTGGCTGCCTGCAAACAAACACATCCTTCAGGCACTCATGCCACTGTGGATGTTGCATGGCCAGCCTGGCAGTAGTGCTTGGGGTAGGCTGGGATCAGCACAGCCTCAGCAGGCAGGGAGAGCTCCTCTCCCTCCTGAGTGACCACAGCTGTTGGGGCTCATCCCCATCAGAGGTGCTGGAATCCCTCAAGTATCCCAGCTGAAGCAGATCTGGAAGGAGAAGCAGTCACTGAGGGCTCCAGGGAGCATGTAGAAAGGGTCACAGGTGACAGCAAACCAGCCACACCGCACTGCCATGCAATACCTACCTGCTGTCATGTGCTTTGTGCCCTTTTCTGCTCTGCTGCTGGGTCCTGGGTCCCAAGGAAGGACGAAGGGGCAGAACACCAGGCGATGCAAGCATCACAGCCACCCAGCCACCAGCTCCTCATGAACCTCCCTGTACGGACAGCACAGCTGAAATCCCTCCTTGTGGCTCATCTCCATCACTTTGCCTACAGAACACCTGGTGACGGCCGTAATCCTCCTTACCAGCTTGGTAAGAAGCAGTTCAGGGCACGGGCTGTGCATGAAGAAGAGCCACTTCTTGCCCGAGCACTGTCAGGTCCAGTGGGGCAGTGCTGCCTGCGGACATGGCCCGCAGCCCCCGGGACCACCCACGAGAGGTGACCTGGCCCTGCCACCTGTTTTATAACAATGGGACACAAAAGCAGGCAATGGGGCAGGTCGGGGATCCACCTCATCCTGGTGAGCCTGGGCCAAGCAGCGGCTGGAGCAGGACCTGTGTGGACAAAGCAGAGCCAGCAGCACAGTGACCTCCTGCCACCCACCCTCCCGTCCTGGCGGCTGCAGCCTGGGGACTTCCCGAGCAGAGGTGGCAGCCCTGGCCTGTCTCCTTGAGCTCCCCTCATCACTCATCCAAGTTTCGCTGCCCAAAATATCCCACAATGATTTCCGCAGCTAATTTGGGCCATCTCTGAGTGTTCCTCTGGCCGGTTTCATATCAGACCTCTGTGTCCCTGCGCTCTGAGGCACGGCACTGGCACTCGTCCTCGCCTTTCCCCTGATGCCCTGACAGCACCAGCCCCATCACATCCCCTTTTTGAGAGAGGCTCCCACTCCGCGGTTCTTGCCTTTCTGGTCACTTCTCGTTCATACACCACACAACCCCGTGTCCTTGCTCCCCATCTCACGGCCCACACACCTCTGGGTGCTGTGGACAGCCCTGCTCCCTGCTCGGTGTGCAGTCCTGTCCCTTACAGCCCCTCTGCGGCCGTGCACAGCCCAAGGACATGGCTGGGCCAGTGTGGTGGGGCAGGAGTGGGGCAGCCTAAGTCACCTCCTGCTCCAAAACCGACCACGGGCACCGCTGCCTGCTCTGGAGGCCCCGTCCTGTGCAGATATCCTCCAGGGATCAGCTGCGGTGCCCACCCCGCAGCCTGCCACACGGGCTCCTGTTTCACTTGGTGTTATCTTATCGCCATAGGAAAGGCAATACAGCAGAAGAATTTCCTTTCCTTCATGGTTCCAGCCTCTCCATTGTCTAGCGTCTGGATTTCTGAGCCTTGCCACTCAGCAATTCAGCGTGGGCCTTTGGAAATGTGAACGCAAAGTCCCCTTATCAGCACGAGCTCTGCAAGTCTCCTGCCGCTGCAGGCAGACCGGGCAGGGTCTGCCCACCCTGGGGCCCCGTCCTCACCCTGATAGCAGTTTCCCCTTGCCTGAGACAGGCCCCAGCTGTGCCCTACACCTGGGGACAGCAGAGCGATGTGACACAGAGGAGCAGAGCAGCAGCCACACAGGTCCCCACGTCCCCAGCCAGGATCCCCCTGCGGCTCCGACACAGAGAGCTCAGGCCCAGCACCAGCGTGCCCACCGCCTCCCCGCCTGGCACAGCAGGGCACAGCCCCTGGATTTCAAAGCCAAGGCTGGGGACAAAGCAGTGCTTGATGTGTCACAGCTACGTCAGCGTGGGCTGCGGGGCCCCAGGGATCCCACACACTGCAGCTGCGGCCTCACCAGCACACGCGTGGCCCGAGGCACTTGCACGTGTCCAGTGCTGTGCAGGCGAACTGGCTGCTTCCTCCCCATCCTTCTGGGGGTTCCCCCATTTCTGCAGCTTCCTCTGCTCTGCACCACGCAGGCTTTAAGGCACAAAGTCACCCCAGGGAGAGAAGTTTGCCATCTCGGAGGGGCTGCGGGCTGGCTGAAGGTGCCCCAGCACAGCCCCAAGCTGCTGCTGAGTGGGAGAGGCTGAGGAGCAGGGCTGAGGAGCAGGGCTGGGCCAGCTGCAGGGCACAGCCACATCTCCGAAGCCCTGCTGGGAAGGGAAGGAGCCGGCCACACGTGAGGAGGGCACTGCGGGACTGAGCCACCTCCCCCCAGAAAGGGGAACCAGCTGCATCTGAAACTAGAACCTGCCATTTCTCGGGAGCAATGCAGAGCTCAAAGCAGAACAACTTCGGGTTTCTGTTTT